CTTCAGCAACTGCCACTCTTCCCTTTTACCTCTCTTTTTTGGGGAAAACGGCATCCAGATTTTAATGTGTGCATACATGGGGAGTTCAACTGGCAAGCGAGCAGACAGCCTGTGTAGAATCTGTACTTGACAGTTTAATTCAGACAAGAAACTCTTCTCTGGAAGAATAATTTTTCCTTTATAGGTCCCTATTAAACTCGGGTGATCAGCTGAAATCAATGAAAATGCTAATCAGTCTGCTGTCCTTTTGTTGCTGAAGTTCATTTAAATAGTGTCGGGGGGGGGGTTATGTTGAAAACCTGACCCAGTTCAGAATCTAAAACATATCACCGAACTGAAGTAGCAGCGGTGGCAGCGGCTCAACGACCAGATAAATGTTTTTAAAAGCAATAATTGTTCTTTTCAGTTTTTTGGCGCACACATGGCAAAGACCAAACAATTTCTTCTTCTTCCTCTATGCTTTTTATGGCTTCCTTTGTAGAAATAAAGAAGGCAAAATCAGCAATGTTAATTGAGGTAAGAAGAGGAAAAAAAGAAAAGCTCTCAAGATTTGCCAAAAAGATTCGGCATACTGAAAGAGAACTGCCATTTTGCGGACTTGGGGAGGGAAAAAAAACACAATTAGGGATGGCGGCGGTGACCTCCTGGACCCGCAATTTGTCAGCGATCCGTGTGCTTTGTTGATTGAAATTTTTAATTTGGGTGTTCTTTAGACGGCCAGTGAAAGGGCATTGTCGCTAAGAGATGAACTCCCCTGCTGCTGCTGCCATTCAGCGCTCAGCCCCAGCCTTTTTTTTTCTCCTTCCTTCAAGGGAAAAGGTGCCATGAATATGTTTTTAGGGGGGGCCAAACGAGACATGAAATGGCGGATTAATTGAATCTTGTGTGAGCCTTTGGTCCTCGCAGCTGGACCGGTGCTTTAGAGAAATACAAGGCTGCTCTAATTGTAGGGAGACGCACAAAAAGTATCCTTCAGATTCCTTCGCTTTTCCAGCGCGGACGGGAATGTCAGTCAGCCACATAATGGTCCTATTAGCTGCTTAACTCAGCGGCGTTACACGGCTGGGAAGATTTTTCACGCCTCGCCGTGTTGGGAGGGGTGTTTGTGTGTGTGTGTGTGTGTGTGTGTGTGTGTGTTAGAGTGAAGACTTGATGTTCACACTGAGTGTAGGTTTTTATTTCTGTCTTTTAAATCACAAACAAAACTGTTGTTTTGTGTCAGGGAGGCGAGGAGTCAGTTTTGGCCTTTGTGTCCCATCAGTTTTCTGAAAATAATAAAATATTGCTTTCTGCCCCCCCTCCATGTTTCCCACACCTCCATTCCCCCCTCCCCCTCCCCTCCCACAGCAACAGTACCACTCCAAAATCGATGTTCTGATTGACGAGGCGTTTAAAGACATGATTTCCTCCCTCGTCTCAAAGGTAAATCTCCTTTTATCCTCCCATAAAATCCTCTTACTGACTGCTTACTCTCAAGCTTTCTTTATTATTAATTATTATTCGTTTTTTTCTTTTAAATGTTTTAATATTTAAGGGGGTAGTGGGAGCAAGCCTTATTCTCATTTTTAGTAACCATTATAGAATTTTTGAATGGATTTAACACTTTTTAATTCTAATTGTATATTTTAAATTTATTTATCTCCTTGTATTTATTTTTGGGGATTATTTATTTATGCTTTGTTTTCCCCTCTTCTCTCTTTTTCTTCTTTGAGAAAAATAATCTTTAATCTTTTTTCTTTATTTTATTATTACAATTATATTTAAAAAAAATTTAAGGATGGTTTATTTCTTTTTTATTCATTCATTTAAGATTTGATCTTGCTTGTAAATATGATGGTTTTATGACTTTTTATTTCCATTCAAAACGTATGATTTATTTTTACTTGCCAGTGCAGTGAGAATATTTCAGTCTGTTCCTTATAAAACAGGCACAATTTTCTTGTACTTGTACTATATACATTTCTTGTACTATATCTTAAAAGAAGAAGATTGTTGCACTAGACTCAAAACAATAGAAACTTTTTTGGGAAAATTATTTGTTAAAATATACTGACAGCGCTGGCACAAAAACAAAAAATATTAAGAACCAATATACAGACTTTTTGAAAAGGATAAAAGGTTTCTTAAAACCACAAATGAAGGCAGTAAATTGTCATTGTGTCTTCCCCCTCTGTCTGCAGTTTGCTGCTGTTTTAGACTGCGTCCTCTCCAAGCTCTCTAGATACGATGAAGGGACATTCTTCTCTTCAATCCTCTCTTTCACAGTAAGTAGCCATGTTTTTGTTCGTGAAAACAGAGAGCGCCGAGCTGTTTCTTTCACTGCTCACAGAGGCAACCTGTTATTTGCTGGAAACCAGATCTTCCCAGCTGAACGTCAGTGTCATTCTTCTTCTTCTTCTTCTCCTCCCTTCTCCCTGCCTCCCCCCGAAAGGTGAAAGCAGCCTGCCATAAATATGTGGGAAGTCCCTGTGAGTCAGTCGATTTGCCTGCTGTTTTATTATTCACCCTGTCCATCACAACTCAGTTCCATATTTGTGTTTCCCATCCCACATTCCAGACAGTTGAACGTGTCGGGTGGAAAATAAGGCAGCCTGAAAATTGCAAAGCCAGCCCGGGGGGGGGGCTGGGTTGGCATATCGGACTCAGTCATGTGCTTGTTTTTTTTTTTTTTTTTTTAAGTTTGTCATCATACGGTTCTAAACATGTGAAACATAAAGAGGAGTTTTATTCCATCTGCAGCTTCACAGTTAAAGATCACTCAACAAGCCTAATTAATTGCACTCTTGTCCTTGGAGATGTGTTTTGCTTAAGTGTCGGTTTGTGGGCGGTGGCAGCGTTCGGGTGTCGAGCGGTTAATGAACGGCGACGGCATGGCAAAGATCAGAGGCTGCGGCGAGCAAGCAGGAGGAGG